CCCCTGGTGGACACTAGAGAGAATGCAGCTTTAACACATGAAGTGTTTTCATAACCGGAGGTTACTGTGTGTGTAAAGGACTTAAACCTACCCATCTACCACTCGTCTCATCAGGTGGGTTTACCTCACAGTTCTAATTAAAGTTTAGTCTTAATTCATTCTCAATCTAATTAAGGCTACAGCAAAATGTAAGACAATGGTTTGTTTCCATCTTTATTGCAGCAATAAAGGTCCTGTTGCTGTTCGAACCCAGCACTGCTCCCATGTACAAAGCCAAGTCCATGAATATTTCAAATAGTTTTGTGGTTTTATGTGACCGGGACAGAGCCAGGCCTTGATCCTCTTCGTCAGTGTTGGACCTCACTGATGCTCTTGTGATTTAATTGGAACAAATCCATTACCAACAGCATTCAGCTGCTTTCTCAACAGATAGTTTTTTTCCCAGCTCAGCCGCACATCGCTGCACTGTGACAGGGTTTCACGATGTGTCTTCAACCAGGTTATATTCCAGCCAAGCAGGATGCTGACTCCCTTTGAGGCGTGACGGACCACAATGACAGGATAAATGGCATATCGCATGTCACCACTATATATTACGTGCATCCCCATGAGCTGCCACACTTCAACCCACAATAATATGCACCAAGGTGCAGTTTGTGTACATGATGACATATAAAACAATGCTTTGATGGGCGTCATGCTGCTGGATTTATCTTTGGAGGCAATGCTCTGAGTCAAAACCTTTTGTGTCTCAGTTAGCAAAATCTCCATTAAAGTTGCAAGTATTCTAAAAAAACTGGATGCAAGTCAAATTTTAGAGCCAACAAACAAACAAACTGTTGTATAAATATTTATTCATAAAATTAAAATGAGAAAAGAGATGAGCGAAGTAGAAGGGACAGGATGCCTGAGATAGTGAGATAAAATGACGAAGATTAGAAAACAAGATGTTTCTCTGAAAGACTGAACAGGAAATGTTGCTGCAAGATTCATAGAATCTCTCAGTCAGCGTGATTCTGTTTGTGCTAGAAGCTTCTACCGTATAAAGGAAGAGACTCAGTTATATCTGATGTTCTGCTGGGTGGATGTGTTTGAGATGTAAACACCAGTTTGTGCGCTTCGTCTTATCTTAGAAATTCGTTCAACAAACTATGATTCGATTATCTGTTAAATGACCCAATGAACCCGTCTAAGAGGCTCATTATCTGTCTGTGTCCCTGAGAGTGGGCTTTCATAGAAGCTTTTAGGGATGTGATGCACTTCAGCTGAGCCCAACATGCACATTTACAGACTCCGATGCTGACAGGAAACAACAGATCAGACAGTGAAGAGCTGCCCACCAGTGACCATCATGTCTCTTACTGGGTAAGATGGTTTCCAGTGTGCAGCACTGTGTGCTGACGGCTGGAGAAACAGACAAAGGCTTGGAAGGCACTGACACCATGTGGAAAAAGCAAAGGTCCACACTGTGTTCTTCCTCTTCCTCTTCCAGTTTCTGACCTCATCATCAAAAATGGACATAGCAGCCAATAGTTCTCAATAGCCTGCTGGCTTAAACTCTGGAACGCTGAATGACAGAATGAGGACTGCTGTCTCCTCCGTCGTCGACACGTTGAGGTTGAAGTTCTTACTGGTGGCCACATTCAGTCAGCCACCTCCATGGAAGGATTGTGACACATGCTAAAGGGCCCACCCTCTGTTGTTGTTTTGAGTCTATTTGTGATCATTTTGTGTCTCTTTGCAATTCTTTTGTTGTACTTTGCGGTTGTTTTGATCTCTTCTTAGTCTTTTAATGTCTCTTTGTAGTCATTTTGTGTCTCTTTGTAGTCATTTTGTGTCTCTTTGTTGTTGTTTTGTGCATCTTTGGAGTCAATTTGTGTGTCATTGTGGTCATTTTGTTTGTAATTGCTTCGTGTCTCATGATAGTCTTTTAATGTGTCTTCATAGTCATTTTGCGACTCTTTGTATTTTTCTTGTTCTCGTTATTGTCACTTTGAGTCTGTTTGTAATCATTGTGTGTCTCTCTGTGGTTGTTTTGGTGTGCTTGTTGTCACTTTGAGTCTCTTCCTGGTTGTTACTTGTCTCTCTGAGGAGGCCCCTGACACTTTGGGCCCCTGGGCCTGTGTCTGGTAGGCCTATTAAGTAATCAACCCATGCTCATTTCTTCAATGAAGTCTCTTTGTTGGTCATTTTGAGTCCTTTTTGGCTGCTTAAACCTCCGATCAGGTTGAGGTTTGATGGTGTCGGAAAGTATTTGAGATTGTGTAGCGAAATGTTGGTTTGATAGATGGTCTAATCAAAAAAGCATCTTTGACGTTATCATGATGTTTCCAGCGTGATACAACAATGATACAACAAAATGTCCAAAGCATCAAGCGTCATGGTTTATGTTAGAATTAAGGAGTTGTAGATGCAGACAAGGAAAGACGCCCCTCCATCACTGATCCGCATCTGGCTGTGGGCTCAACAATGATGAACTCAAGTCCAGTTCATGCAAATGATGCATGCAGTGATATTTCATGTGTTCGTGTTTCTGGGGAACTTAAAGGAGACTCTGCACCAACAGGCTCATACGAGTGTAAACTAGGTGGATTCCAGAGAATCAATGAACCAGAATTTCAAACAAGGCTGATAAAAAAAAGGCCTGTTCCAGATCTGAGGATTACTCAGTCACCATAACACCTGATGCGTAGTCAGGTGTTATGGCGACACCGGTAGAACAAACAGATGAAATCACCTAGAATTTAACCTCCCATTCAACTTCCTGCTGGGCTCCAACATCGGTGAAGTATTCCTGTTTTGTGCCAGGAATCCAGCAGATGTTTCTGTTTGTTTGAAGTGAACCGTATGTTAATCTGGTGATGATGAATAACGGATATAAAATATGTTTCAGGGATGCCGTCTGGTTCCCGCATGTCATAAATAAACAAAGTCTCCCGAGGACAAGAGGTCTGAAGGTGTCCTGAAAAGCACAACGTCCCATTTGTGTCCCGGTTCAGACGGCGGTCTGGAGTCTCCCCACAGGCACCGAGGGCATGAGGTACCGCAGGTTCTTCCAGAAGTTTCTGTTTGAGCGCAGCTTGTTGGGTTTATTGGTTGGGAGGGAGCTTTTCTTCCACTTCAGAGCTCCTTGTTTCCTCCTGAAGTAGCGCAGAGACTCCGGCAGGCAACTGTAATCCACCGGACCGTCTGGTAGAACAGAATACAATGTCGACCGTTTTTATTGACATCTTCATTTTAAGCCGACCTTCACAATAATGAGTGAGTTTTACAGCATGTGTCGGTGCTTTCCTCAGAGTTCTAAGAGGCTCATCGACGTCACACAACTGTTAATGGATTCAAAATTGAGAGGAACTTTAGCTCTTCTTAAAAGAATAGTCCAACATTTCTTCATTTTGTTGCTGAGACTTTTCTGAAGATTGAACTCGTGTTTGTATATAAAATACATAAAAGTCCGTCCTCACCGATCTCCACCAGAATCACTCGGGGGTCCTTCTGGGTCAGAGCGTCGTAGAGGCCGACCTTCTGCTCGTAGCACAGCTGGTTCTCGTTGTTACGCAACGGCACCTCCTCTGTTTTTCCGTCAGCGCTGGATTTCACCTCAGGTGAGAGGATGATTATCAGTCTGCGGCATTTGCGCACCGTGGCAGCGATGACGTCATGCACCGCTGGAAGAGATTCGACACAGAAAACGAAAAACGGGTCAAATTGAAAACACAGACTTTTAGATAAAGGACAGATGGTGTCGTCAAATGATTCATTCTATTACGAAAGCTTATTAACTCGAATACATTATAATTCAAACTACAGCTGAACATTTTCCAAACTTGTTCTAATTTCACAAAAACTGTGCGAGGAAATGTTTGACATCGGTGGTGGAAAGTGAATAAATGAATTGACTCTAGTACTTTGGTACAACCTTGAGGTACTTGTACTTTACTTGAGTATTTATATGTTGTGTTTCTGTCAATTCCACTAAATATAGGACTTTTTACTGCACTACATTTATTTTGGCAGCTTTAGTTTCACTACAGATTTATATTATAAATGCAAATTATACAACAAGTACTAAATAATAATGTATAATGATAAATTAAAGTACGCAGCAATCTCCGCAAGTTGATGATGTCAACGTGTTTTAGTGAGAAACACCAAATGTAAACATGGTGGTTTGTTCCCGAGGAAACCTTCTTTATTAAACCTTCACATGTGAACCGGGTGAGTGCCGGTTGCTGACCTTCTCCCGGGCAGTCGTCCCGCCCTCTGATGTACAGGGAGTATCCGTGTTGTCTTTCCAGCTTCTCAGGAAGGATCTGCAGGGCCAAGCTCGCCGTCTCAGCTGAACTCAGGTCGGGGGGGGAGGAAGCTCACATAGGCGTCGTAGAGCTTCCCATCAGGAGCTGCGGAGAGGACGACAACAGCTGTGCAGTAAAGCAAACATAGAGAGTTCCCGGCAGTGTGCGGTCGGTCGGATGATTCCACCGACTATACCTTGCTTGGAAAAATGTCTCATCAGCTTCCTGTGGGCCAACACCAGATCCACTTTGAAGACCAGGACAGCGGCGGCGAGGAGCAGAACGGCCAGGGAGGCGGAGAGGCAGAGGGCCACTTGGGTGTAGAGGGCACTGTGGTCGGCTGGAGAGAGAAGGAGGCAGACTGTTTAAGACATTCGGGTTTTACACATAAATAAACCAGATAAACAAGGAGAACAGGGCAGACTTTCAGGTGTGATCCGTCCCCGGAGGGAAGCTTTTCTCGGAAACGAGCAGTTTATTTGTAAATCCCAGTCCCAACAGAAACTCAAATTGTCATTTTATTATGCATTGATTTGTAACTAAATCTGTGGCACACATTCCCTTAGAGGTAAAAAATAGACTAATGCATCTATAGACAGAAATATAACAGAGGTTAGAAGACAGTTTCAGTGCAGCTCCTGTACGACCAAAAGTATGCCGACACCAGAACATCACATCTTATCCTAAAACGCTGGGCAATAATCTGCAGCTGAAACGGCCTCCACTCTTCTGTTTCAGGCCTTTGCACCAGATTTTGGAAGCTAAAGTCTGACAATCCGGTTCACACCAAAGTTGGTGGATGAGTTTTGAAGTCAGGGCCTATAAGACCGTGTCTTTAGATGGACCTGGTTTTGTGCAGAGGGGCACTGAAACAGGAGCGAGCCTCCATCAACCCAAACCTTGAGAAAGCCCCCGACTCAAAAGTTAGTGTGTGCACATGCTTTAAAAAATGAAATGAAGAGATTCACGTCACAGATTTGTTTCTGCTGTATTTGCACGTAAACATTATTTTTACAATGTGTCAAATGATGCAACCTGCATTGTTTGCTTAAATGACATGCCATGTTTGCTCTTCTTTGTACAGAAGCCCTAAGAGGCCAAAAAGAAAAAGTGTGAGTCTGATCTCATTAGTTTTCTCTCCTGTGTTTACAACTTGAGAACGAATAAGGGAAAAGGTTTTGACCAGGAGAATTATAAGTTACTCAAATGATTTTTTGTTCACCCGGGATAATTTTTCCAAGTTACTTTTTTTCATCTGCTTTTCCTAAAATTATTCATATTTTCCTCAATGTGAGTTTTATTTACATAACTTGCTCACACATAAGTACCTTGTGTTAAGAGTGCATCAAGAAAACTCACATGCAAGAAAACATGAATGCTTTTAGTCCCATTTAGAACATAACAAAGTGGTGCATGTCAGCCTCTTGTGGTCAAAGTGGGTATTACAACAACAAACAAGAAAATGTACCTGGCAAAACGTTGATTTAACAGAAATATATATTTTTTACATTGAACGATTATCCTGGCAAAACGTTTTGACATGTTCTTAAATTATAAGCACAGAGAAAATATCTCCAGATTCTCTCTTCTTTTTTCCCTCTCAGGGCTTCCGTACCTTCGTGTTGATATTGCCTTCAATATTTCCTGCACATTTCTGTAATGTTTAATAGAAGAGAAGAAAGAGAGGAGAGAAGAAAATACCTTCTTGAAGCCACACAATGCCGTCTTTGATTCCGGCTGAGTTTAATACCCAGCAAGAAATGGGAACACTCAGGAACTGACGACGGACTTTAGAGATGGACAGAGTGGACTGACTGTACACATGTCCTCTGTGGTGCACACTGAAAGGAACAGGACCAGTCAACCAATTAAATCCATCGATCAGTTCATAAATCAAGCAACCAGGCAAGAATAAAAATATTGTCTTCATGCTTTTTCTTCTTCCATTCTGCGTCGTTCAAAAGCAACAAGGAGGCAGACATTTTAATCTGTGCATGAAAATGTGATTAGGTAACTTCAACTTTGTCTGAGTCATTTTATCAAGAAGTGTCAATGTCTTTATCTTGTTTTGCTTTACAGGCCCCCTCCACCTCCACCCCCACCCCCACGTACATGACAGGATGCAGAAAAACTCACAAGTTCCAGGAATCTTTAAGCTCCTCGTGTTCGTCGGTGTCTTCGTTGTTGACGGTCCAGAACATGGACGTCTCGCTGTCCTCGCTGAAGCCGACGTAGGCCAAACACTCGAGCTTCACGCTCGTGCCTGCAGTCATCATCGGAGGAAGAACAAAGCAGCTGTCACTCCACACATCCTGGTGCTTCGATAAAAACGGTCACTGGGAGGTGAAACACTCTTGAACCTCATTGTTATCAGTTACAGGAATGAGTTTGGGAAAAGTCCAGAATGCACGTTGACCTTTGACTAAATCAAACCTGATCAATAGAAACCACCATTTCAGAAGAGTTTGTGTGATCAGACAGGATCTGAAGACCTCACTTGGTCCCTGAACACATCCTGGTGAAGAAAGCCCAGCAGAGGCTCTAAAACAAGCTGGCCTGCCCCCTGAACTTCTGGTAAACTTCTACAGAAGCGTGATTGAAAGCATCCTGTGTCAGTGCTTTACTGTGTGGTGTGCCAGCTGCACAGCAGAGAACAGGAGGGACCCGGCCCCTGTGGTTAGAACAGCATAGAGGATCGTGGGAGTTACCCTGCCTGACCTGGACACCGTGTATGCTGGCCGCCTCCAGCAACATCTGCACAGACATCACACACCCGGGTCACTCTCTGTTTGTTCTACTACCATCAGGAAGAAGATACAGGACTATCTATCAAAACCCGGACTAACAGGCTGAGGAACAGCTTCTTCCCCACAGCAGTTTCCTCCATCACCCCCTGTTTGTCCATCATCATATATTTATTGAATGTCTGGTTTTAATCAGTAATGTCTTGTCTTACTTGTTGCTGCTGAACTGACTGATGAGTCGCCAACTTAATTTCGTTGTATCTTTTTACGATGACAATAAACATCGTCATCCTCATCCTTTGATGCAAAACTGTACACTTTGCTGGAATAAGACGTCAGTATTGTTGCACTACAACCAGGCGATGCACACAAAGGTCTGAACTGTGGGAGGGAAAAGACTGCAGACCGAGAAGAGGAACAGACTGTGATCTTCAGATTACGGCCTTGAGGTTTATTTTATTTTATTTTATATTTTATTTTATTTTACTTTATTTTATTTTATTTTATTTTTGTATTACATTTTATTAAATTAAATTAAATTTATTTTTATTTTATTTTTGTATTACATTTTATTAAATTAAATTAAATTTATTTTTATTTTATTTTTGTATTACATTTTATTAAATTAAATTAAATTTATTTTATTTGATTTGACCAGGGACAGTGCACATTAATCAACATTTCACTACATTAGGACACAGTTGAACAAATGACTCATAATAATGAGTCATTTCAAGTGCTGAGCAGTAAACCTGCAGTAAGAGGGGAGAGAGAGATATGCAGCAGATGACTCAAACCTGACAGACATACAGTGTGTGTGTGTGAGTGTGTGAGAGTGTGTGTGTGTGTGTGTGTGTGTGTGTGTGTGTGTGTGAGTGTGTGTGTGAGTGTGTGTGTGTGTGTTACTATGACAGTGGTTATACATTGTTAGAGAGTGTTACTTACCTTCTTCAACCACCACCACTTTCTGTTGAGGGTACACCACCATAGGCTCTGGAAGAACTGTCTTACTGATATCTAAAGACACATAATCAGTGTAACCAGCTGAGCATAAAGCACGTTATAACACAGTATGATAACAACAGGCTCAATAACAGGCTCAATGACAGTGTGGGTGCAGCACACACTCTTGTCAGCAGTCAGCCGGATGCTGCGTGCGGCCGTGTACGTCCGGCCGTCCACGCTGACGTCCACCAGGCAGGTGTATTTCCCAGTATCCTCCTTGGAGGCGGCAGACATTCTCATGAAGCCGTCCTCCTCCACAGAGATGTGATCACCCGGAGGCTCCATCAGCTGGCAGTCCTAGTGTCACCAAAAGGACCAGAACGTTATCTACAGAGCACTTTCAAAATAAAATGACAATAAAGAAGAACGTCAAATGACTTGAAAATGAATTAAAATCAGGAGAAGCTCTCTGATAACGCTGTGTTTTCAGTTTAAAGGATGACTTCTTGGTCATAAATAGTTCAAACATAACCTCCCATAAACCACTAACTGCATGTTTGTATCATGCATTAAACAAATGAGGTGACACGTGTCTTTAGAGCTGCTGGTGGATGGATTTAGATTTTTTAATCTTCAGATGGAGCCCTGCTAGTTGTGTCCATCTGCTTGCACTCTGTATGCTAAGCTAAGCTAACCGTCTGCTGGCTGTAGTTCCAGTAGAGGTAGACGTCATGTCATCCAACCCTCTGCAGGAAGGTCAACGAGTGTGTTTCCTAGAATGTCTCTACAGCATTGTTCTTCAATATTTGGAAGCTGCAAAGAACATTATGAAAATTTAAGGACGAAGATGGTGTTATTGTATATTTTTTTAAAACAATGCATCACTTTCCAAACTCCCTGCCCGTCTATATGATTTAATATTTAAAGCCTCAATCATGTCCTCAATCAACAGTTTCATAAAACAGTTTTATGGATGATAAATAGTGCATTTGTTGTGAGTTTCGTACATATTTCAGCACTTTTTTGAGATTGTGAGATTGATTTAAAATGAACTACAGTGACTGATGAACGATGGAGCTCCACCGAGGAAATACAATGAGAAATACAGACGCTCATAGTGATTGTCAATGACCGACAGCTTTAGTTTTCCTGATGCTACTGTACACTACTGTGTGCTGCATGTTATCTACAGCACCTCTACAGGAACCAATCAGCAGCAGCAGACGGGCCAGATGTTTTGCACATGTACCTGCAGTGTGCAGCAGCAGCAGCAGGGGGCAGTGTTGCATTCATCAAGACACAACGTAAATACAGGACGTGATGCAACCAGAAATAAGGAATATAAATGTATATATGAATCATAAACTATGCTGTCTCTCTCCATTCATGTGCTTCCACTGATTGTTTCTTGGTATTGAACAGGAAGAAGACATGAAATAAGGCGTGTAAATGCATTAAAAGAGCACACGGACATCATGGAGCTGTGGTACCTTCATCCATCGTATGTTCCCCACGTTGTTCAGTTTGAAGATCTCTGTCTGTTTGCAGGACACACTTTCACTGACTCCCAGGGTGATGGATTTGTTTTCAGGCGGATCAGGACACTTTCCACTGGACACCGACACCCCAAACGTCACCGGTCCAGACTGGCCCCTGAAGAGGAGGGGGACTGTGAGACCACCAGTAATATATGACCGTATTTAAAGAATGTAACGCAGCTTTGGACCCTTTGTGTAGTCGAACCCACCGGGTCATACAAGAGATTCACTGTAAAACTGAACAAGTTCACGGCACTCAAAATGTTTGTGGAAACAGATTACCGAAGAATATTTAAGTATTGGTCATTAATTATTTTTTGTAGTATTTTTTTGAAGTAAAAATTAAGTTAGAAAATATATATTCAGTTAGCTTACTTTGTTATTTTCATTTAAAAATATATATATTTGAAGTTCTCTGAAATTAAATAAAATATTTATATTCTCTCAATATTTGTAATTGCTGCACACTAAGTTAAGTTAAACTTACTTATTAACGTTAACTTCCACTGACTAATCCTGAAGTGAGTAGTCACTTGTGCACAGCCTGCAGCCTCTAGGAGGAGTGTACCAGAATACCTCTTCTTACAGGTGTAGAATCCATCATGAGACATCTGCACAGGTAGAAACCACAGCAGCCCGTCCCTCACCTCCACTCCGGCGGGCAGCTTCGGGCCGTGCCCCCCCGCTCTGCTCCACGTCACGTGGGTGTGGGCGTCCACCAAGAGGCACTTCAGCAGGAAGAGGTGGCCGACGCTCACGTGGTAGGTGTCTGTCGCCTCGCTGTGGTCTGCGTGTGATAGTGCAGCGGGAGGTCAGCTGTTAGTCTGTCAGTGCAACTGTGACGCTACAGAGCATCATCAGTGTGACGTGCTGCAGGTGCAGCAGGACAGGTGAGGCAGATCTCCAGAGTGAATAGTTAAGAGGATGGATGACAAGGCTTTATATATTAAAGTGTTCACCGTGTGTGCATAAGAAGAGCTGAAACAACTCTGAATGTGATTGTAATCTATGCATCACCTCTGGTTTTTGGTTTTTGGTGCAAACATCCAATGACAACAACGAGAGATTTTAATGTTTTGACTCATAACTTTTAAGCTACAACATTTCCTTCTATCGTATTATTATATTGGATTGCTTCCATATATTGCATATATTGCTTTCGCTGCTTTATCTGTCAAAGCACTTTGTAAAGTCTGTTTTTAGAGGTGCTATAAAAATAAAGTTATGATTATTTTTATTAACATTATAGGCTACTGTGATGATAAAGATACACAATTTCCTTCGACTGTTAACTGTTACCAGTGATGCCAACATTCAACAACCCCACTTCAGAAGAAGTTGTTCAGTAGTACTCTTATTGTAATCTCTTTTAATACATATGTTCTACTTTAAAATGGTGCACAGTCCTCCCATTTATTTGTGATTCATTAAAATAATGCTTATGACATTGGTAATCACAATAAGCTTAAAGTGCATGTTTTATTAGAGGTGCTGTAGCCTTTTGTATTCTCGTTACATCCTCGTGTCTTTACTCTCATCGCCACAAGGGGGCACTGCTGCGCACACATTGTATAATGCTGCATTCATGTAAAGTCGGCACTATGGGAAGAACGAACACTGTTGTTGAAATATACCAGTAAACCAGTACAAACAACACAACAACACAGACTGAAAGGGATATTTGAAAAACAGCGTAATTCATCTCACCAGATCTCATATTTAATACTATTTTAATTCGAGCTTTCAACCGTAGACTGTATACGGCTTTCAACGAGTGTACCCGTTGATTGTTATATCTACTGTCTCACGTGAACGCAGCATGGCAGTCATTTCAAATGGCGGGCCGACTTTACTATAGATGCATGAGACAAACCGACGTTAATGGACAGGAAACTTCAGAGTTTAAATAAATACAGAAGCAAATAAATAAACAGACAACCACAACAACTAGATAATACAAATACGGAGAAAGGACACATTTCTGTGGTTACAAAGTTACCCGGCCTGGGATGAAGTACTGCTGTGCTCACCTTTACGTTCAGGTAAAGAACAAACAGAAAGTATCACTGCTGCACGTGCAGATGTTTGTTAGCAGCTTGTTTAGTTAGTTTGCTACAGCCGGTAGAGGAGTGATACCCACTTCTGAAGGCAGTTTGAAGGGACTCAGTCAGCTTTTATTTACCAATATTCACTGTGATATAACGGTGTTTACACAATGAATAGCAGACTGACTGGTTTTGATTGGAAACTCCAGTATTTTGTTAAAACCTGTAACAGGAAGTCATGACCGGATGTTGTCTACCTCATGATACCTCACTTAAAAAACATAGCCCGTCTCCGCCCATCACTCTCCTCATCTGCTGCTGAAACTCTGATCCACGCCTTCATCACCTCCAGAATCGACTACTGCAACAGCATTCTCCACGGCACATCATCCAAAATCCTAAATAAACTCCAGTACATCCAGAACTCTGCTGCTCGCCTGCTCACCCACACCCGCTCCCGCGACCACATCACCCCTGTTCTCCAGAACCTCCACTGGCTCCCCGTCCCACAACGGATCCAATACAAAATCCTTCTCCTCACTCACAAAGCCCTCCACAATCAGGCCCCCTCCTACCTCACCGACCTGCTCCACCACCACACTCCATCCCGTCGCTCCGCTCCTCTGATGCCAACCTCCTGTCTCTTCCACTCAGGACCAAGCCCCGGACATGGGGTGACAGAGCTTTCTCCATATCTGCCCCCTCCCTCTGGAACTCTCTCCCCAAACACATCCGAGACTGCACTGACCTCTCCACATTCAAATCTCAGATCAAAACCCACCTGTTCAAAACTGCTGTTAATGTGTGACCACTATTGTGTATTTTATGTTTTTAGTGTATTGCTTTTATATATGATGATTTTAATGTAAAGTGTCTTTGAGTTTTATGAAAAGCGCTATATAAATAAAATGTATTATTATTATTATTATGTAACTCATTGGTTGTCTCTTTGTTTCCCTCTGATTGCGTTCACTGAGTGAATCCTGTATTGACACATGCAGGTGCTTGAATGAAGCTTCACCTATGATGTGCAATGCTGCACACTATGTTTGCATTTAACGTTTGTTGTTGGCACACTAAACTCTCCGTATATAGACTCCCTGTATGTCACTATATGATGTGTGATAGTAGTTGATATCCAGCTCTGGATGTCGGGGGATGTGGGAGTTTGTGTGTTTCTCTGCATGATGGTATGATTCCTATTTTTTTGCAGTAAAATATTTCAGCTCTTGATGCATTTATTACATCAGTTCCCCATGTAAAGCTTGCTTTTGTTGTGTAACTTCACACCGAGTGAACAATTTCCTTTGCGAAACAATGCTGACGTCTTTCCTGCAGACTCAACCATAAAGGTGTGATGCTGAACGTTTGCCACCTTTGACCTATTTAATCTACAGCGGAGGCAGATGGAAAGAACCTGCTGACCTCACAAACCTTTGCACCCTGTCGTCTGTTAGACAGTCTGTCCAGGTCTCTGCTCACCAGGCCAGATGTCTGTCTACACTCTTATCAGATCCTGTTGAAGTGAGTCGATGGCAAAGACCCACCGGTCCAGCCAGCATGCTATCCGTGTAGCCGTCCCTCTGTCAGATACATGTACCTACGCTAAACCTTCCACATACTGTATACCTCTGCATGTCAATGGCCTCAATAGACACACAATAAATAAAACATCTGCTTAGGTTATTGTGTGTCAACATGAAGCAGGACCAAACAAAGCTGAATGTAAATACTGACAGATAGTCTTCCTACTTTAATATATTTAAAATGAATCGATGCCAGGTATAAAAATAACAACAACAATAAATATCTGAATGTCTTTCGACCACGATACTGTGCCAGATTACAGACCGCCTGCCTGATCAGATCTCTGATCAGAGATCTGATCAGATCTCTGATCAGATCTCTGATCAGAGATCTGATCAGAGATCTGCAGAAGACCGTCACATTTGTCACAAACGTCCACCTGACTGAAGGACGAACTGATCAGACTTTGGTGGTTGAACGTCTCTGTGACCTCACAAAACACATTTTTGGCCATAATTTAAGAATTAATATGCTGATTATGACAATTTCACACAAATGTGTAAAAGGATGAGGTGATGAAGTGATGATATTTCGGACAGGAATGGATGTAAACGGCATCTTGACTGGTTGGCGGAGGCGTTGATTTTAGTTTCTATATAAATCTGTTTATTGTTGTTCAGTCACTGATCACGGTTCAGTTCATATTTATCATCCGGCTTCATGACTCACTAAACTATCATAACTTTGATGATTGTCATCTGCTCTTGTACTTTGCTTTCTTTGTTCCCTTCCGATATTTGACCCTGCATCACAATCCCATATCTCTAAATATAATACGTACGTGTTGTAAATACCTTTCCATTGACGAGAGAAAAGAAATTTGTCAAATGTTTTAATATCCTTCAAGTTCCCAAGAAATAGAGGAGTGAATGTCCGTTCGGGTTCATTTTGCTTTAGATAGTCCGACACCATCAACCGGTACTTAATCAGTTAATTATTAATAAATAAAAGGCAAAATGAAACGACAGAGAAGCGTTTAATTAACTCAATGAGCTTCATGCATCCACTTTTAATGTGTCGTGTGATTAATGCCTTTTTAGTTATTTCTCTTTGCTGAAGTTTATTGGCACGTTTCTTTCAGGTCTTGTGTGTGTGTGCGTGTGTGTGTATGTGTGTGTGTGTGTGTTAGTCCAGCTGTTGTAAATTAATTAATATATAGATTATAAATCAACCTTTAGAGCGACATGTTAAGCTGTTAACTGTTAACCGTTGACCACATTAATGTGCTAAAAGTGAAGGAAATCCTTTCTCACCTTTAAAAGGAACTCTGAGTTTAACAGGTTATAAACAGGTTATAAAGAGGAAAAGCAGAGTTACACCATCTCTGTGTATAATAATAAACTTTCTGTGTGTTTTTCAACAGGTGTGGCATGAATATATCTCTGTTGTATGAGCTGTATGTCTCTGCTTTCTATTCTTCTGCGTCACCTTAAATGTGTTCTTTAAGCCCTCAGCCCATAGGAGCCATGTTAACTCTGTCTGCAGAAACTGAAAATGAAGAGTCAGCAAATATATTAAAATCGAGACTTTTATAGCGGCTCTGTCTTAAATGTCCTGTAAAGCAGCCAGTGTCTGCTGTTAAGAATGATTTCTAGCAGCGGAAGCTTTCTTTAGCCTGTGAAGAAGAGAAGAAGAGTAGAAGAAGAAGAGAAGAAGAGATACTCACTGTGAGCCACAGTGTGTGCTGGAGACATCAGTGCAGCCAGCAATAAGGCCCATCCTGCCGCTGCCATTGACCTTGTTTGTGGGAGAAGACACGTCACATTTCATTAAAGTGCTCCATGATTCCTGCGACGTGACTTGTGCTCTCAGCCACACTGACGGTCTGCAGTGAGTGAAGGCTTCTTGACACATTTCCTGACGGCTCTGAGACTCAAACCGACTCCCGAATAAAGGGAAGTGAGAGAGCTGCCGTTCACACCGCTGAAGAAGAAAAAAGGCAGCGCACAAACACTCCCAGTGAATCCCCAGAAAGTTCCACTATTGTCCTCCAGACTACAGCGTAGGATAGATCCTGTTAAACCCGCTTTTCTCTCCACATTCTGTCACATTTTGTCATCAGAAAAGGAGTCTCAATCAGGTGGTGGATGAAAGTTCAACAATTCATAAGAAGATATTTATAAATAGATATAAATCTATACTATATGAATACTATAAAACAGTCAATATGAAACTAGATTCCCCTATGCTGATGCAGACACATTTAACAGTAAATACATGTATAAATGTAGCTGATGCCTTTAACTCACCAGACAGCGTGCTGAGGTTCAGCAGCAGCTTGCTACTTGCACTGACCTTCTGAAGAGCCGCTGGGTTTTCGTCCTTCTGTCTTCAAAGCATTTCATAATGTTCCTCTCACGCCTGCTTTACATTTTCCACTCAACAGAAGAAGAATAAAAAGCACCTCTGCTGTTGCACCGCAGTGATTAATCCTGAGCTCAGTAGAGCTTCGGCTCAGAGATGTAGGCCAGCAGACCTCACCGGCTTCAGATGTGAACGTGACAGTTGTGCATCAAAAGACCTTTGAGAGAGTTACACATTTACCTTTGTGGCAGAGATCCAGTAAACATCACAACATGTTGAGACTTGTAAGACTCTTCTAAGATGTGCTTCTTCACTGATGACTTCACACCGTGTGAACTCTTGATGGAGATAAAAGTATTAACGCCTCCTCATCTCTCTCCATATCGGAAATTAAATTGAACCTTTGTAGCGATCAGTCAATGAAAAGCAGATCCTATTTTGGGAAATGGTGGTGCATTCAAGGACACTCGTTCATAATTTCAGGAAGCTGTCAAACCCTTTTAACCAACTTTATTCAGAGGATCCTCATATCCACGTTTTCTTGTTTAGTTTTGTAATATGTGGCAGCAGCTAGCTTTAGTATAGAACCTTAGTTTGACTGTCGTAGTATCTCTAAAGGCCCCACCAGGACCAGCTCTCAGTGACGTCCCTGTTAGCCGCTGTGTTACTACATGACATTATGTAACTCGGATAAAGAAATATTAAAAGATTTAAGTCTTTGGAAGATAATTTCTATGTTGTTTAGAAATTAACTGGATCCAATTGGGCCACATGTAAAGATAAAGAAAGAGGAAGAAGTTATTAAAATCATAATGAGAGGAAAGACACAACTTAGACATTAAAGAAGAGTTCCACATCTGTTTATTTTTGAACTTTTTCCATTTTATTGACAGAATAGTAAAGCGCATCACAGTCCACAGTCATTTACAATCATTTGGAAGCTTTAGCATTCTGCTAAGAACATTTTAACACTTTGCATTGCCTTGTTGCATGAGATAAAAATGTATATAAATAAATGCATTTTTGATAAACATTTGCCTCCCTTGGCTGTTTGCTCTTTTTTACGATCTGTGGTTCAATAACTGTAAATAAATGGCAGTAATCTAATATAGAGTTCACAGTTTGCTGCTTGACCTCTCACGATTCTCTGTTTTCTTTATGTTACACATATTTACACGTTTCATCATACATATGTACATTAAGTACAGTCACTCGTGTGGTTCGATCCGTCTTTCTTTGTCCACATTATTCTTCAGTCTCCACCTTTATGTCAACACTTCTTATTGTGATGCAGGTAAACATCAGATGTGACCCTAATCCCTCATTAGCATATGATGCACATGGTGCAAAAGTTGCACAATTAGACTCTTTCTTTAGCTTCTAATTTTGCTCCCCGTTGAGGTGACATTTGCATTGAGAGAACCTTTTAATGCACCTTGTTGAGCGTGTACCTGACAGCTTCTGGTGACGATCATAGACGTTGAGCCAGAGGTTTCTGAAGAGCCGCTGTGAGGCTCAAAGTGTCTCCGGTTGTCTCCATCTTGGCATTGACGACACCTTCCAACTCAAAAATTGGTCAAAGAGGTGGATCGTCTCTGGAGCTGAGGCGGCGGAGCAGACAGCTAGCGACCTGTGCCGACGCCCACCTGTCACTCAAAGAGGCCACACCCTCAATTAAACCCAACTTTAAGCAACTTCATATAATTTAAACGGGTTGACTCCAACCTGTTGCAGTTGTCATAAACGGGGATATTAGCTATAGAGACCAAAACATTTTTTTGTAGCAGGCTGTAAACATTCCTTCTGTAAAGGTTGAACATAGACGTCGATGGAGATCGACTCGCCAGTACCAGTATTTCTGAATTGTCAGTGACACATTTAGAAACCGGCTTCTCTCTCCGGTCCAGAACCTCGTCAGAAGTTCAGCAGGGCGGTTTTCTCGGCCGCCCTCTTGCCCCTCACGGGCATACGATACCTCATCTCCTTCCAGAACCTGGAGGAGGTGGAGAGGTCCTGTCCTCCTTTCTCTTTGTCCTCTCTCGTCCTCGAACTCTTTAAGCTCTTCCACCAACACACGGCGCCTTGCTTCTTCCTCAGGTGACGCACGGACTCTGGGAAGAGAGCCAGCTGAGCCGGGGAGATCTGTTCCAGCTCCACCAGAATCACCTGTGAAGCAGAGCTCCAATTAGAATCAAGCTGCTGGAAATAACTGAAATGGAACCAAAGAAATGTGAAGTAGATTCAGTATTCGCCCGTCCAGAGATCGGTATTATTATTATTTTTGTCATATGATTACTTTTGTGTGATTTATTATTATTGGATGTGCTTTATCCAAATGGTACTTTTGAACCGGGACCTTATTTGAATCAAATAGCTTGTGTGTCTCAGATTCAGGAAGCTACATCTTGCTAACTTAGTGAGTCGTCTGCTTTGTGCCGGGCGGTAGTGGTTTTATGAGAGCCTGTTTGCTAAGAACAGCTGCCTGGACTTAACCGTCATCCCCGGGTTGAACCATAAAGTGTGACCGGACTTAATGCAGCCTGTGAATATTCATTATTCTCACCTTGAGAGATCCCTCCACCAGCGCTCTGTGCATCGCCGTCACACACTCCAGCTGCTGTCTGGTGTCCGGATAGACTTCTTCACTGCCGTCAAAACTCGTGCTGCTTTCACCGTCGTCTCCGCCGCTGCTCTTGGAGATGATGTTGTTGTTGTTGCTTATGCTGCTTGTGTGTCTTTTGCTGAGGAAAGTGGAGGCGTTGTAGAGCAGGAGGAGGCGGCGACTGGCTTGTACGTTCTCCTCTACCGAGTCCACGATGGCTGAAGAGACAGAGCAGAGTTGCATTAGAATAAACATGAGCTTTACTAGTAACGTTTCTCCCAGAAGAAGAGTTGAATCTCACTCAGTTGTCCCTCCTGGCTCCCTTACGTACGGTCAAGCTAAGTGGATCATATCATATTTATTCTTAAATATAAGGATGTCTGGTTGCAAATATGAAGCTAAATATTAAAGAAATCACTTAAACTCCAGTATAGAGGGAATCAGATTACTGCGTACCATGTCATTCATTTATTATTACATTTGAACAGTTTTAAATCACATGTTCTGTCGTCTATTATTGTTTTAGATTATTGCTATGGTATTGTTTCAGTGTCGGTATGGAGTTATTTAGGGAGGGTATTGTATTGGAATCACTATTCTATTATCGTGTCAACACTAGTAACACTGCAGAGTCGTCTCCGTCGTGTAGGACTTACCCGTCCCAGGCATGCAGTCACGGCCCGGTATGAAGAGTTTGTACGCGCAGGCCTTCTCCAACACTTGGGGAAGTGTGTGGAGGGCAAACTCCTCCACTTCCTTACTGAATCCGACGGCACAGGACTGTGGGTACACCACATAGGCGTCATACGACTTTCCATCCAAATCTGAGAAGAAGAAGAAGAAGAAGAAGAAGAAGAAGAAGAAGAGGAAGAAGAAGAAGAAGAAGAGGAAGAGCTCTTTTAGGATGTTTGTTGTGGTGCTTCAGTCTGCACACATGGCTTTATTCTTACAATAAGGTGCAAGTCAGATTCAGCCGTGTCATTTTATTCTTTTATGTACATTAACCCTCTGAACCCTAAAACCAGCCAGCGGGATTGAAGAGCAAGTCATTATCATAAGATTTTTCTTTCCGACGGTCCTTGAACACATCATGTACAACACATGCTTCCATCAGAAAAAGCGACCAAAACGAAGCCTAAAATTATGACACGTAGAGCCGACATTTCTTTTTCCACACTGGTAACACTTGAACACATGTTGGATTTACAGTTTTTGTAAAATATATTATCAAAGAAATTCAACTTGCGTTTTATTTCTTTTTTCATGATTGACGTCATCATAACTGTGTTGTTCTGCACTAAAGACATGTTCTAGTTCTCTCTACTTCTAGTCATGATGGTTCTGTTCCCACAGAGGAGCACAGCAGGACTTTTATAGTGAAAATCAACACAGAGAGAAAAATGTGACGGGAGTGAAAAAGTGCTTTGGGGTTCAGAGAATAGAAGTCAGATTTTGAGCCCTTGGTACTGTTCCAATGGGCTCAATGTGAACACACAGTCCTGCATGTTGAAGCTTCCACTGTTTCATAATCAAGCAGCAGACGACATTTCCTCAGAAGCTCAGCAGGCAGCGCTGTGGTTAGCTTGTTTCCCTTCTTACTGTTGAGTGTTGACACATGCGGTCATGTACTGGGTAGAGCTTAAGCTTAAGTGATGTAAGTGTGTGTGTGGTACTGACTGACAGCATCACTCTGGGGTTTTCCATCTTGGGAGCGTTGTGAATGGAGTGTCAGAGTATGTATTTGTACAAGCCTGCTGTGAAGTATTACCTGTGTTTTTGTAGAGGACTGGAAAGCCTCTCCTGAACCACAGCACGATGTCGACCTTAAAGATGTAGTAGACGATGACGCTGACGACGAAGAGAACCATCACGCCACCGAGCACCGATCCAATGGGGAGTATGATGTTGGGATCTGTAGAGATGAACATCACACGTAAAACAAACCGTTTTCAATATGTCAGCACCGTGTGTGTGTGTGTGTGTGTGTGTGTGTGTGTGTGTGTGTGTGTGTGAGTGAGTGTTGGGCAATATGGACCAAAAATCGTATCTCTGTATCTTTAGGCTGAATGGCGATACACAATATATATCTATATCTCTGCATTTATTATGGTTTTATGTTGTTTTTTCATGCATTTGCTGTTTGATTCAACTTCAAGCCAATTGCAAAGATATTTTAAGAGGCCACCCTCTCTAGATACGAGCCATCTAGTGTTAAAACCTACAGTTTGATGAACAGGAACACGTAAAATGTGGCCCCTTTTATGGAGTTTTAAAACCAATTTTAATAGAACAAAAGACCTCTGGTTAAATCTTGTTAGCAGTGACGACGACGTTGTAACTTCATCACTCTGCAGCTTTCTGACCCAGTGAGTCACTCAGTGAGTCGGTGACATACATTAGAGTTTACAGGGCTGACCCCGCTTCGCTGAGGTTAAACCACAAAGAGCGAGCGGGGGTTGAGTTGCACGGAGATGCAAACACTGGCCTGTTATGTAACAACTAAGTCGATATAAACGGTCTCATCCTACATATCCCGTTTGAAAATACATCGATATACCGTGAAAAGTTGCTCTACCACTCGGCCCAAGTGTGTGTGTGTGTGTGCGTGTGTGTGTGAGAGAGAGTTAAAAGATTGCGCCTCATTCTTTCTTATTCCTTTATTATATCACAAGCAATTAAAGCATTGAATTTAAGCAGTAAAAAGTGAGGATCGGCTGATATGGAGACCGTTATTTGGAGGCGATATAGATTTGCAGTAAAAACAGGGATTCAAAGTCCAACACACAACTTTGTTTAAATGCCTTTAATCATTATATTTAATGAAATGCTGCAAAAGAGAACTTTTCAACATTATCTTTAGAGAAATAGAGCCATTGCTCTCGTCATGCTGACATCTTCTCAACAACAACTTGCACTGAGTTTGTATTGTTCGAAGCAATGGCCGTTGGGTTTCGGTCCAATGAGACATTTGTCTGGACTGTTGTTATGGAATAATAGGTCTTCAGAACAACGTCTGGCTGCAAAGGTTTTTGTTAAGTTGAGTAGACACGGGCATTATTTAGGAGGTCATTGTGCCTAAATGACAAAAAAAGGGAACATGGTAACACGGATGACTGAGTTGTCATGTGTGAAAATTTGCACGCAGATTTTCTGTACTTTGAAAGGATTCTACCCCGTGTGTTTACCTGCAGGTAGCAGACTGAAATAGCCGGTGCTAGGGCCCCTGGAGCTCAGTGCCATACAGGTGAAGTTTTTTCCAAAATCCTCCGTCGTCAGCTCAGAGAATATCAGCATCCGCTCTGTCCAGACACCTTTAATGGGACCATCCTGTTTCCACGAACTGGTGAGGACAGAAGAACATAAAACATGTTACGTGTCGTATAACTTAATATTCTACAAGTGTTCCTTCTCCCTCTGTTGTGCCTGTTGTACTGCAGCAGACTCCTCTAATCAAATAACTACATCTGGAAAGAGAGGAACCGACAGTAAATGAAAGAACTCAAAACATTTAAATATCACGGCAGTAGTACGGCAACGGATCATAAAACTCACCGTTCGGATCAGCACAAAATAAAAAAGGGAGCAAATAGAACTTTTAGATCTCTGATCACATGTTTTTGCTGCTGATACTAATAACTGATCACTGATGATCCGTATCAACAGATACAGATCTCTGTTTGATTAGAGCAGCTGCTCTACAAGGATTTACCAACGTCCCAAAAATCATTTCAACCACTGAAGTCAATAAACCCTCAAAATACTAAATGTTATCTTTCACTTTGTTATTGTAATTGATAGTGGTTTTTTTCCTTCGTAAAACACACATTTTAAATGATAAGGAAATAAAAGATTGTATATTTATCGACAAACTAAATCTCGTAATTATTGTTTTTAATAATGAAGTACAATAATGAGCTTAGAGCTCGTGTTAGGAAGTTAAACAGCTCATAATTCATCTCTAATATCTATTTTATATTAACGTGAAAACATCTCCTTCAAACTACTGGATTTATTTAAGTTTATCACCAAAACTACATTTTACAGATGACACGTGAACACATCATGATAACGTTATAATGTACCTTCAGCCAGTACTCATGTTCACTGAGCAGAGCCTGAAGGCATCATCATGTAACTGAAGTGAACCCCCGTTGGTTAGCTGTCACCCCAAAAGCAGCAGGTTAAAACAAAAGTGAAGGTGAAGGTGCTGACCGTGGTTTGGAGGTGTAGATACGGTCGGGTTCGGTATTGAGAATGTATGAATAGGGGTCTTCCATCCAAACGACATAAACATCCGGCCTCCCGACACACGGCACAAACACCCGGCACCGCTTGATGAAACTGGACCCTAAACACATGCAGACACAATCAACACCAATTATACTCTGCAGAACTGTTTATCTGAACCTATGAACCGAAGGAGCTTCAGACCTGAGCTGGTGTTCAGACCGAGAATAAATTGCACTGTTTGTGTCTTACAGTGAAAAGATGAGCTTCAGTCAGAAGATAAGTCTGATTAAGATAAAACAGCTTATCGAGCACCAAGGCACTGTAATACATCAATGTTTCGAAGCCACAAAGAGTTCGGCCTCAGATTAATCGACTAATTGGTGAAACAGTCGATAGATTAATTGATAGAAAATGAGTTGTGAGTGTGAGACAGGATTTTACTCTGTACACTTCCTCCTGCTACAATCATTTTATCCTTCCATTTGACCGAAGGTTAACGGTGGAATTTGCTCTCCTAGCTGTGGTTTTTTCGACACAATGCAAATGTTGGTCCGATCAAAAGCCAAGTCGGTTCCTCCATCCGCCAATGTGCACTGTGTGTTCTCTAAAGAGATGTTTGTTGCAGGCGGAGACTCACCCATCGGTGCCTTGATTATGTCATTGGCCGGTTCGTGGACTTGTGGAGTCAAAGAGTACTTATCTGAAAAGACATGAAATACAGATGTTGAGGTTATCGAATCATGGGAATATACCGTAAATAGAACGCTACCAGAGAGTTGCTAGCTCCCGTCTGTCGTTTGTTTAGTTTGGTCTTGGGAATGTTTTGACCTCTTGTTCACAGCCTGTAATACATTCTGCTGAGATCATTTGTGCTGCTCACTATAGTGATGATTTTTTAGGAAAGTGAAATGCACTGTTAGAATATAACACCGATGTCCGTTCTAACCTGAGACCCACGCCTCAATGGTCTCTGACACGGATCCCGTCACGCCGCCGAGAGTGAAGGTGAGCGTGCAGGTGTAGGAGGAGTTGTTGTTACGCTCCACCCCGTCGATCTTCAGTTTGCCTGAATCTAAGTAGGTGTACCGGCCCTTTCCGTCCACGATGGGTTCACATCCCTAGATGAGGAGAGGAAACAGAAAATGACTACACGTAATAACTACTTCATGATGGTCGACAGGCACGTGGTTCTGATTGGTCAAGTCTGATCAATCTTGATGATCGTCTAATCTCTTTTTACTAATTTATCCTCCTCTGCTTCAGCTCAGGCAGCGACCTCCGGTTCTGTCGAGTGAAGTCAAAGCTTCATGTGTTTAACCTGCATTCTCTCTAGTGTCCACCAGGGGGCGACTCCTCTGGTTGTATAGAAGTCTATGAGAAAATGACTCTACTTCTCTCTTGATTTATTACCTCAGTAAACATTGTAAACATGAGTTTATGGTCTCAATCTCTAGTTTCAAGTCTTCTTCAATACAGCATGATGTTCATTTAGTACATTATGGACATAATTATAGTCAGCCACCACGCTGAACAGATAAAGATTAGACTTAAAGAAAGTTGTCAACTGAAAGAAGAGAGCAAGTTGGAATAGTAGCAGTACATAATTCAAATTCATCAAATCTTCTATTAATGTAACTTGAATCTATATATGAAATATCATCCTTTTTAATGTGCACAATGTTGTATGTTATACCTGCTGGATGTACTGATGCATTTTGCTTCAATTAAACTTGCCGTCTCTGATTCAGAGTGTGGTGTGAAATTCCCATCTTTGCCAGTTTTCCCCTGATTGTTACGTCTGTGTACATCTGGTCCAGCAAACACTTCTCCACAACATCTGGACTGATGTAAATGAATGTTGTGATCACTACTCACTCTGTACCACGTGAGGTGGGAGGTGATGTTGTAGCCGTCCAGTGTAGCGATGTAGTCCTTCAGAGGGCAGCTCAGCATGTCGGTGACCATGTTGGTCAGTGATTGAATAGCTTTCCTCGGCCGTCCGCACTCTCCAGGAACCGGCAGCTCCACCACCAGCTTGGTGGCCTGCCGGTAGCACCGAGACGGAGTTCTGGTGAATATAAAGACGAGAATTAGCCGGTTTTTCTTCTCTTTGTTCGTGCAACAACGGCTTCAGATTCTCAGAGTTTACGAGGTGCACCTGAATGTACCATGAAATGCTCTACTATGTGGTCTTGTTGATGGATTCTCTAACTCTTCTGCAGTCTACAAACACAATGTGTCGTCTTTGAAAGTTTCTTTTGTTTCTTAGGAAGACAAACAGTTTCTTTCACCTTCTGTTGATGTTTTCTATTCTCTACTGATGCTGCCGTACCTCAGGACGCTCACATATTCTCCAGAGTCGTCCATCTGTAACTTAAGGAACCACAGCGTCTCCCCGTTCACCAGGATCCGCTCGCTCTGGTTGCCCATCTCTCGGCCCGTCTTGGAGTCGTACCAGGTGATGTTGTAAGGGACGGCTGTCAAGTTGAAGACGTCCGGAGACACCAAGGTGCTATTCAGCATCGCCGTGTCCCCGGGAACAGAGAAGACCCGCTCGAACTGGAGGTTGTAGTTGGTACAGTTCTCTGAAACACAAATGGATCGGTCATTTACTTTGTTAATTGTTTGGCAATTGTGTTTATGCAGCACAATTCATGACAAGAAAACTCAAAGTGCTTAACTTTAATATGATTTAAGAGGAAACTTTAAGGCCCTGATCAGATGCGGACCAGGCTGCATTCTTTATTGCCCGAACAGTGTTGTTTGCAGTATGTTGAGGCTTGAGTGCTGACATTGAACTGTACGCTACCCCAACAGTTCATATCACTGTTTAAATGAATGAAAACAACTGTCCCAAAAATCTCCACCCTCTCAAAATATATTAAATAAAATATAATTGGTAATGTGCCATTATAGCTGCAGCATGAAGCATTTCATCTGGAATTCTGTGTATAACAGAAACACCACGTCACTGCAGTTACACCAGTGGCCAGAGGGGGGCGATAACATGCTTCTGTACAGACTGGAGGCAGACGTTGGACTTAGTGTGCACAGTATGTAGGTATGTTCCAGAGCTCTGGTAGTATTTATGTAGTTATTTTGGCTCACCTTGTTCAAATCCTGCACAGATCCCAAACAGGCCGAGGAGAAACACAACGGCTCCCGCTGCTGATTGCTGGCCCATGGCTGAAAAACACACATTCAACCAACAGTTAGAGACGAACACACACAAGAAGCCAGGGTGGGAAGTGCTACTGGAAAAAGGACTTACTGGAACACTGAGAGGTCACGAGAGGCTTTCAAGTACAGCAATACTCAGCAAAACAAACCAGTTTTCTTTCCCCTTTAAGACAAACTTTGTCTTCCCTAATATTTAAAAGCTTGCGTCTGTCCTCCCTCTCCCTCCCTCTCTCTCTCCCTCCCTCCCCCTCCCCCTCCCTCTCCCTCCCTCTCTCTCCCCCTCCCTCTCCCTCCCTCTCCCGCAGGCATAGATGAGCAATGCTCTGGTATTTCAGGAGTCACTGGTGCAGAAACATCTTACAGAACGCTGCTTAACGCTGCAGAGCTGGAAGGAGGCCCAGCATTCCTGAACACTGCTGTTACGCAAGTGAGTCTTCCTAGATTTGGCTCTATGAATGAGCGCTGAACGACATGTTCTGGTAACATCAGGCGGCTCCATTGTGATGAGCAGCACCGGTCACATTAACATTCTTGTTTTACCACAACACTGCTGAGGTCAGGTTCAGGCCATCACCTCCACCTATAGTGAGGTCTGGGTATTCTTTGACAGTTTGGTTTACTACTACTATGAATATAGAAATGTTTGTCTGTACTTTTTAACTGTTCTTTGGTGCTACAGAGATTTGAAATGTATTTGATATCCAATGACCATATTCAAGAGAAAGTGCCATTTCATGGTGAGCTTTCCAGAGAAAACGTTATTATTGCTTTTGCCAATTACCAGAACTGCTCACTCATCTGATGACCACCCAGTACCAGTAACATGAGCTTCATGTACGTCCAGTCATCTGGATGGACTGTAGCTAAAGTCTGTGACTAAAGCTGGAGACAAGCACAGACGTATCTGGGTGTGGATTGACTCAGTTAAACTCAACTCCCACAGTGAAAGTATTTCTCAAAGACACGTAATTCATCCTCATCCATGATGTCACACGTCTTACTGTCCAGCAGAGGTTTGGCAACCTGATCTGAAGCTCGTGGACGACTTAACGTAGTTATAAAGGATCATTAGACTCCATTCAAAATGTAGTCAATGTCAAACAGACATCAACCAGAGCCCTGCAGGAGTGTGATGCATGATGGGTATGTTCACATAAAAACAAAGAAATGGATGTTTGAGGGGAAAAATGCATAGAGTTTGTCTTTTACCGCTACGCACTGAAGAGTTTGACATAAACTGGTAAATATACTGGAAGGAACCTTGAAAACATCAACGAATCCTCAGTCAACGGTTCGTATGATGTCTAACAAAACGTTCCTCATCGTTTCTCGTGCGTTTTCATGCGAACGGCAGCAACACGTGGTGATTTCTGCCCGTTACAAATGACTTCTGTCTTCACAGGAAACTACGTAGTTAGGTTTCAAGAGAAGACGGCACATTATTTTTCATAGGTTCTTCTGTGAATGCCGTATGAGAGCAGCCTGGAAAACACATAAATTAGTTTCCATGAAGTTGGTCGGGATTAGAGACACGTGCACAAACATAAACCACAGAGCATGTGTCGGCTTCGTTTATGAAAATGTAATTAAAGAAAGCGGTGGTTATGGCCCTGCAGTGTGAAGGTGAATCTATCCATGAGCTGCTAGTTAGATGTGAAGTGTGAAGGGTGTCTGGCCACATTCGGATAAGCTTCCTCGTCTATCAGATAACAGCTGATCTGATCTCTCCACATCTTTCCCCGCATGCATTCACAGTGCAGCCTCTTCACTGCACGTAGCGCTGACGCATCTCTCCACGTTGTTCAGCAGCTAAAGCTGTTTATAGACTTCTGATCATTGTACAAATGTCACATCTGGCATCACAGGTGTGTAACGGTGCATCAGCAGATCCATTATTACAAGCTGATCTTGTGGAGCCAAACATCTTTTAAACATATGAAGCCTTCATTTTGTTTTGGGGAAATGTTCATAGAAATGATGCACAAGACATCCAGAATATTTAGACTTCACAGGATGGTGCAAACATGAAATCTGGAATTTTGCTCCATATTTAGCATGACGAGTGTTGGAACAAACACACAGAATATATTTATGTATTTTCCAATTGTTTTAAAGATAATTCAGGGGATATTTAAGGGAGAAACTTGGGTTTTAAATGTTTCCAAAGTTCAAACTCTTGTTGCTTCGTAGGTCGTGTGCCGCCACAAACGTTCTCTGAAAAACGGAAGACTTAACAAGAAAACAGAAGCCACAGAGACTGTGTGAAAGTTCTGTGGGGGGAAGATGGTAAACTAGAGGAACATTTTCCGGACTGCAGTATCTGCATCTCCATCTGACTACAGGAAGCCTCACTGCTGGCGAGACGCAGACACAAATGAATCGGTGGTTTAGCTGTAGAGAGTGTGGTTTGTCTCACCACCTACCTGTTTAGATCAGCATCGCCTTCTGCACGGACAGTAACCTGAAACTTTCCTTTTCTCACCTGCAGTTATTACAGTCATTTTTTTTGTTTAAGCAGACGCTTTTATCCAAAGCGACTTACAATTCAGAGTCTATCACATTTCTACACCGTAGGCACAGCTACAGGAGCAATTTTGGGGTTAAGTGTCTTGCTCAAGGACACATCAACATGCGACTAGCAGGGCCGGAGATCGAACCGCCGACCCTCTGATTGAAAGACGGCCCTGCTATCCACTTACCCACAGTCTCGCTCCCAGTTCACTTCATCTAGTCTGAACCATGAGATACAGTGAGCTGCTGTTCTATTTGACTTCTGCTGAAGTTCTCAACAGACAGACTGTCATCCTGCAGCATCAGTTCATGAAGCACTTCAATGCTTCTGGTATTTAATGTTCTCCGGTGTCACAAAGAGCTTGTGAAAACGTTTTTTTAATTTGCACGACAATATATTTATTCAAACTATTTTGTTTTTGTTGTGAATACTTTTACAAAGAAGGCGGGAAAAAGCAACGTAATATTGATTTTTCTGAGCTTTCACACCACAAATAAAGTTGAGTTGAGCCTTTATTTATATTTAGATCAACTCCGACGCTCAGTCGTACAAACCAGGTGATTCTGCTGAGTGAAGTCAAAGCTTCGTGTGTTAAAGCTGCATTCTCTCTAGTGTCCACCAGGGGGCGACTCCTCTGGTTGTATAGAAGTCTATGAGAAAATGACTCTACTTCTCTCTTGATTTATTACCTCAGTAAACATTGTAAACATGAGTTTATGGTCTCAATCTCTAGTTTCAAGTCTTCTTCACTACAGCATGATGTTCATTTAGTAAATGATGGACATAAAATACCAAAATACACATACAATATTAGTAGTTTAGCTTTTCAAATCATGCAAAGATCACATATCTATTCTCTAAATATGCTGTGGTCACTTTTTCAATAGTCTGTCTATAAAATGTCATATTTTCTTAAAGGTGGTGTCTTCAAATTGCTTGTGTTTAGTCTAAAAATGAGCCATTACAAGTCAGAATTATATTTAAAGAATGGGAAATGCATCAAACATAACTTAGCTGGTTCCAGCTAACGTTTGACATATTTTCTTGAGAAGCAATTTCCGAGATTTATTGTTTATCATCATTTCTGTTTATTGACTTATCAAATATTTAGTGTTTTCTAAGTGTTACCAACGAAATATAAAAAACAAAAAGCATTAGAAAAGATTGAGGAATATTTTACCTTGCTTGGTGTTAAAGCCTAGACATACTGAAAGGGTTAATCCAGAAACAGCGGTATTCAAGTAAATCTCAACTTAATAAAACATGTCTTCAGAATAGTTGCCTGTTGTAGCTTCCAGAAGCTGGAGGACGAGTGCTTCTTGTCGAGACGCACTGACCGGACCGTCAGAGTCTCAGGCAGCAGAGCTCCACTCCGGGACAAGCCCAGACAGGACAAGGGAGCGTGGGAAGAGCTCAGCCGGTTGGTTGGTGGCCTGAACAGTGACGTGGGAGTAACACACGAGGTGAACGACACCGAGCCACAAGAGAAACGTTTAACCGCTTTCCCTCAATACTGGAGGCCTGGAGGCGTTGGTGGTTGTAATGTGTTGAGCGGTGAGTCACACGCTGTCTTTTCTTTACCAAGAGATGGAAGAACAACCGTGGTGCGCTCTGATTTTACTTTCCTCTCAATAGATAGATAGATAGATGAATAGATAGATAGATAGATAGATAGATAGATGAATAGATAGATGAATAGATAGATAGATAGATAGATGAATAGATAGATAGATAGATAGATGAATAGATAGATAGATAGATAGATAGATAGATAGACAGATAGATGAATAGATAGATAGATAGATAGATAGATAGATAGATAGATAGATAGATAGATGAATAGATAGATAGATAGATAGATAGATGGATAGATAGATGAATAGATAGATAGATGAATAGATAGATGAATAGATAGATAGATAGATAGATGAATAGATGAATAGATAGATAGATAGATAGATAAATAGATAGATGGATAGATGGATAGATAGATAGATAAATAGATAGATGGATAGATGGATAGATGGATAGATAGATAGATAGATAAATAGATAGATGGATAGATGGATAGATAGATAGATAGATAGATAGATAGATAGATAGATGAATAGATAGATAGATAGATAGATAGACAGATAGATAGATAGATAGATGAATAGATAGATAGATGAATAGATAGATAGATAGATAGATAGATAGATAGATAGATAGATGAATAGATAGATAGATGAATAGATAGATAGATAGATAGATAGATGAATAGATAGATAGATAGATAGATAGATGAATAGATAGATAGATAGATAGATAGATAGATAGATAGATGAATAGATAGATAGATAGATAGATGGAGAGATTGATAGATAGATATATAGAGAGAGAGAGAGGGATGGAGGGAGGGAGGAATGGATGGATGGATAGATAGTTACTTTATTAATCCTGCAAAGGGGACATTTTTTCTGCTACAGCAGCATTTATATATATATATATATATATATATATATATATATATATATATACACATAAACCGTTTCTGATGTATTGGGCAGCACACTTGTGTCCCACTCGTCATCTCAAACGTTTCTCTCTCAGCAGCACTTTATCTGAGCGTCTCCCTCACATATCACTGCTGCTCTGCAGACAGCAGCCTGATGGACACATGGCTTCCTGGCAGGAAACTGCTGAACCAAAAAAAAGACGTTGCCGCTGCCAAGACTGCAGTGTTGATGTTGTGTCTTTGTATAACCAGGCCTGCTTTGTTAACCTCGAGGCTGCCAACTCTGGCATTGCAACTTGAACATGTGCAGTTCTGTTATTGGAAGAACACGAAGCCGTCACATCAAGGACTGACATCCTGTTAATCAGCTTCTAAGCTTTTCCCAAGATCAGGGTCTGATCCTCTGAAGGACCTGGTTCAGGGTCGGGGGTATAAAAGGTATAGAAAGTACACCTGTATGAATCTTAACTCCTTCGTATGCATGCTGTTCAGACTAACTGTAGCTAAACAGCGAACGTTAATGGAGGTTGCGTTGACTTGTGTGGTGCGTTCAAGCTCTACTCAGTCAAAATGAGTATTGGGAAGGCAAATACTGTCATATATACCGTCACAGTCCGTGCTTCAGAATTATAACTTGATATAAACTTTAGGCCACACCACAGAGAGAACAGCTCTGAGGTCTGATCCGACTCTAGTAGAAGATATCAGCAATCACTCTACTGTCTGTCAGGACAACTGGTTGGTAAACGGTAGAATCACGCCTTTCACATTATAAAGTTATTAATCTGGAATGAGTGCATGCTTGTATTTGATTGGTCAATGCTGCGTGATGTTGATTGGTTGACTCCACCCTTGATTCTGGAAGCTTCATTGGCTTCCACAGCTTGGATCATCAGGAGATTAGTAACATGTGCTAGAAAATATCCAGCTTCTTTTGGGGTTTTCATTTAAAGTTATGTTAGAAATGGGAGCAGCTGTGTGAGCACGCTTGGTTTAAAATATGTAGTCTTCAAAGGATCCAGATTCTGAAATGAGACCCAGCTGCTGCACCTTATGTTGAGCCACCGTGTCAGATTTGGAGGAAAAAGTTGAATTCTTTTAAAGCACAAAACAAGAAGCAGATGCTGTTTTTCTCTGGAGCAACCCGGGATGAAGCTTCTGTTTTCTGACATCAGCAGAGGAAATGAAAGGTCGATGTAAATATCGTGAGTAGTGTGTTTGTGAGCAAAGGCTGCTGGGAAATGTGGCACATTTGAATCAATGTTATTGAAGCAATAACTGCTCCACAAAGCTTAGATAGAAGCTGCTTTCTGTGTTTGAGACATACTTCAGGTGACTGAGTGATGTGTTGTAACCTGAGATTGAAGGCAGTGACGTAGGAAAGCAGACGGACACTTTTGGGAAGCGGAGCCTCACTAACTGAACAAATTTGTGCAATGTTTGTTAATGTTTGTTGTCACGGAGAGAGAGGAACAAGCGTCCATTTGTTTCTGTTTGCACACAGCTGAGTGGTGGCGGAGTTTGTTCAACCACAAATCTGCTCAGTTGTGCGAACTTTGTCCATCTGTCAGTGGGACAGCGGTCCAAGGTCCTGACAGCATGCACTAATCAAACAGGTTTCTACTGTCAACCTCACCTTATGTTTACTGTTGCCTTTCCTCTCGCTGCAGATTCATTTCATCTAATGTAATAATCTAGCTCGAGTATAAAAATATGAAACAACAAAAATGTACAGTTTAAACTTGCAAATCCTCGTAATTAACAGTCAAACTGGAAAGAAACACGAGGACGTGTGAAGCAGCGATAGCAGTGATTTGTGTCATACCGAGTCCTGATATGAGTCAACATAAACGTGGAGATTCCCTCGTGATTTACTGACAATGACGAGACAAACGTGAGGCCGCAGCTCAGTGTGCTCTCACCTCCTGTCCTTCCAAACACGAGCAAACTGTAACACAGCAGCAGAGCAGCGTCACAGTAAACACGGCGCCCACACGGACTCCTCTCTCTTATTTAAAGATTGCTTCGATTTAATCAACGTTGTCTTTGTGGAACATTTAGCAAAAAGCCCAAAACAAGTTGTTGCTCAATCGTCAACGATGATCAACAGTCTGAAGCCCAAAGAAATGCACATTTCACTGATATCGTTGCTACAACTATCAGTTATTTCACTATTAGTGCTGTTTGATTAATTACAGTTAGTTAATTGATTTATTGTTTTGTTTATAAAATGTCCGAAAATAACAATTCTAATAGTGGTGGTAGTAATAATAGTCGTAATAGTAGTAATGTTAGTGGTAGTAATAATAGT